AAGGTTATGATAAGGTATTCGTAGCGGTTATGATATAATCTTTTCACGAAGCTCACAAAATAAAGATTTGAAAACTTGTATACATATATAAAGGTACAAAGCCGTATGCATGCATGCATAATCATTTGTACCGCATTTACTCTCACTCTACATATGCCTAAATGTATGCAACCATTTGAAACAAATAAACACAGGGTGCTTCTAATGAAATTAAATAGTTCTTCCTGCGAAATTTTCTTCAAAAAATAAATTACAAACTTGCAGGAAATTAAATTTCTTATAAAATTTATTTAGTATCTTCGTCATTTTTCAGTACTTCATTTATCTGTTAGACTGAACGTATTCTCCCTACAAAGCTTATTGATTTTATGATGAAATTTCCAAAACGTAAATTTTGAAATACTTGTCTATATTATTAAACGTGCGATATGTCGATACTGTGTGCATAAGCACTTATCATGAAAAAAGCACTATTTTTTAGACATATTATCGCCCCCTGGTGTATACAGTGATTCCCAAAGTGGCCCAGGTGGACCCGTGGCTTGAAAAAGGGGGTTCCAAGTTGTAAGTGGGTATCCGCGAAAATTTATCTGGTTCGATGGCAAAGAACAAAAATGTTCGCTTGGCTTTCCAATCAATGCAGGAAGAATTTTGGTTTTTATCTTTTCCTCCCTTAATTTTTGTATCTTCTTTCGATGTATTAGATTTTGCCTACATTGTATTATCTAATATACTACTCAAAAAAATTGAAGGAAATATAATAATTACAAAATTTTGTCTACATTGATAGGAATGTCAAGCCAACATTTTTTTTCTTTCCCTCGAAAGAAGAAAAATTTTCGCGGACATCTACTTACAACTTGGACCCCCTTTTTCACGCCACGAATCACTGTTTTACACCGGGGGCGATGGTTAAAGTTCGAAAAAAATAATTCAAAGTGCCCTCTGTTCTGGCTTCTCCGATGAAAACTCCGAACAGTTTACATTTTGATAAGCTTTTGAAAATCGTAAAATGGTCAAGCAATGTATAGATTAGTCCATTAAGTACTAAAATAACGGTTTTTTTTCTAATAAGATTATGAAAAATCTATTTCCATGCTGTAGTCGACCCTGCCTACAATCTGCACTGTGTTATGTTTCGCGTGTATTCTCCAGTGTGTTTTATTCAAGCCAACTGAGGATGAAATATATAATCATGGCAAGATAACCAGGAAGGCATGAACACCTCCATTTAATTTCATTTCATAAAAATACGCTATTATTATTTCGATCCCGTTGTGTACAAGTGTATTAAATCACACATTTTCTACATACACGCATGGCGCAATAAACAGGTGAAGTAATAAGGCAGTATTCTCTGTTCATTTTCTGACATTCGACTGCCTTATATTTCACAATGTTGCATTTGTTCATTGAACGTTTATGTGTTGCTTCTTTGGAAGAGTTTACATATATTTTGGGGGCAATTTGGCCATTTATTATTTGCTTGCGACATTGTTTTTTTCCGTTTGAATTTTTGTGAAAAAGTACTATATAATTTATTTGTGATTAAAAATTAATAAGCTGTGTAATTTGCAGAAAAACCTCGACTTACGAAGGCGTTCGTTTTTTTCCATTAACAGAGGAGCAGGTTAGGCTAAATAAGTTGGATATTTCAAATATTTAATGGCGAAGTAATTTCTGGCACCACCAACTGCCCCAAAAAATTATTATCCCACAGCTATGAAATATACCTTCCAATAAATGTGAAAATGCTATATTTTAAGTACAGGATGCGTTTCCGTATAACTTATTTAAATAAGCGCTTGAAAGGCAAAAGCTATAATCGATTAATCTTTATAAACCTCCCATATATACCTTTTTAAATTTATTTATTTAAACCTTATAACCATTAATATCATTTGTTAAGTTTTTGTATTCACGTTGCTGATTTCATGTATCTAATTTCATTTCTTCATAAAATTATCAAGATTTGTCTATGCATCCGTCGCACAGTGGTCCAATCTGCTTTATTAGGGTAATTTAATTATTATATTAAGAACTAAGATAGATATCGGGATGAAATTTCGCACAAATTATGTCTGAATGACTAACAACTTCTGCTCATAAAATGGGCAAGATCGAATGGCGACTACGCCTGCCAACCATAAAATTAAAAAAAAATAATAATAATAAAAAAAAATTAGTATGATGTGCATTTGACCGGACCTACCTATGGTTATGTATTTCAACCCGCACAATTCGAATTTGAAGTCAGTTTGGCTAATATACCTCCTAAATTTCGAGAAAACGTCACAAAAAAAAAACCGGAAAAATAGTGAAAATCGGTAATAAAAAACGGTTTTTTGAAGTTTTCTTGAAATCTAGGAGGTATGTTGGCCAAACTGAATTCAAATTCGGATTCTGCGGGTCGGAATGCATAACCATAGGTAGGTCCGGTCAAATGCACATCCACTAATTTTTTTTGAGTGCCGGTGTTATTAGTGCGGGAGCTTCTTCAGGCGAAATACCTTTAGGACTCTTCTTTGCCAATATGACCTCCTTAATAGCAGTACCTCTTTCTGGAGAAGCACTTAAAAGCTCATTAAGTAGCGTAGCTGAAGATCTAATTTTTTGTTCATTAGCCAAAAAGAAATACATCTGGTTCTATAACTTTCGAAAGCTCATTAGCTTGCTTCATTTTAACGTTTTGGCAACAATCTTCAAAACTTTTAGCTGGCCTACCAGCAGAAAATGTCGGCTTACCAAACTTAGAACACACAAATTGTGATAAGTCTATTTCAAATTCGAGCCAATCTTTATTTGGAGTAACAAACCGCTCTCTTTTTCGGAAAAGTTTTGTCACTTTAGGTCCAAATTCTGAATTAACTTCGCACGTATGATTTCAATTTAACAAATTTGGTTCTATCACTAGATCATAAACTGATATTCCCTGGTACAAAATCAATTATTCCATCAAGTCTTTCACTTTTAGGGGACGACAGCCAAAAATCAAAAATTTCCTGTCTTGAAGTTTTAGGAGTCGTTTTGAAAATTGAAAATAAATGTATGGGTGCCGCAGCTAGCGGCAGAATTTTTTTTTGGATTCTATTAGCATATACATCAATTGAGAGAATAGGTATAGTAAGTGATCTATATTCCGCCATATGAGAAAGATTTCTTCTACAAAACAAAAAAGAATAATAATTTGGTACTCACCAATAAGATTAAAACTTTATCAGCTCCAAAAAAATATGTGCGTCCACTTCGTTAATAATTCAACATTTCCTGAATTTTCTTACTTAAGACAATGACGGAGAAAGAAATGAAGTTAAAACAAAGTTTCTTTAAACAAATTACTGAGCCTTAAAAATACTCAGTTTTCGTTGCAAGCACAATTTCATTTTTCACTTATTGCTTACTATGACATTTGGATACCGTTATGTTTATATGTAGCCAAATTTTTTCAAACAAAGTTGTGTTTACTCTTAAGTAGACAATATTCTTGCATATTTGATAAAAATTTTATTGAAAAATTACAAATAAAAAATTTAATTAAATTACCCTAGCCTTGCACATTGGACCACTGTGAGTCGGTGAGTTCTTAGAAGTATTTTTTGTGCAAAATATTTTTACTAATTTGACCATTGGAAAAAGTGCTTTTGCCTCAAGACATCGAGTTACGGCATTAACTGTCACTTTTTATTGGTTACCACATTGGCTACTTTTATTAAGATTTTGTATGCATTTGTCGGATTATTTGAGAAAAATCTTTTTTACCAATTTCTCCATTTTAACATATTTTTTTGCATAAAAATATCCGTTTATGCGGCATTAACATGGTGTTTTGAAACCGTAGTTGGACCTTTCATCTAGAATGATATAGACACTTCTCAATCTGGGTGGTCTTCAGTATCTACGTCCTTGATTGCTTTTCTTTGTGTGAACTACTCCATGGATTTAGTACATTAAATTACTCTTATTAGCGTCAAAATCTTTGTTTAAGTTTCTAACTATTATTTATTACATTGGCTTTATATCCTTAAAGCTCTTTGTTATTGTTGGTATTTGTCTTTCAATACTAAATACAATCGTAATCCACAAAATGGTTTCGCAGTACATATTTAATTTGAATAAAAAATAATGAATTATGCTTAATTTTAGTTAATTTAAATAGCTCTTTTATTTTTCAAATACGGATATTTCAAAAGTAATTTTTAATATTATCTATGTATATGTATTAAATAAAAAACTTCAAATTATTATCCCTTTTGTAGTCAAAAAGGGTAATTCTTTCTAATATTTCTGGCCTTTACCCTTTAAAAAAAGCTAAGGGGCGAACACTTCCAATAAGGTAGTGTCAAATCTTCCTTCTCGCTCTTATTACTACACCTGGTATTATTCCATGATTCAATGGCTGCGTTTCTTTATACATTCCGGATAATCCCATTTCACAGCCGGAATAAACAGAATGCGTTTGAAATAGACGTCAACATATCAACAAGAACGTTCTAAAGAATAAATAAACAAAAAAGTTTATTCCAAACGTTCAGAATGAATAAAGAAATGCAGCCAATAATTAAAGGTTTGCTCATTATTGACATTAGAGGTTTGACACTCCCTTAGCTCCCTTACAAAAGCATTGCACACTCACACGAACCCACACACAGTGCCTTGCTAAGGGAGACGATTTTGTCAAGAGGAAGCGAGAAAACTGCTTTTTGAGCAAACCTTTTATTATTGAATCATGGTATTATTCCACTATGATATACACTTACAATTCATACTATGGGTATTCATGGAATTGCATAAATGCCTCGTAATCCGTAAACCTCGTAAATAAACCGATTTTCCATACAAAATTATGTAAGCTTACGAGTCTTGCATGGTAACGAGGCATTTATTTGCGCGTTTTGAAGAATATCTTTATTATTTTTTTAGTTTCTTATTGCATATTCCACCAATCACGAATTGCTCCAATATACTTTCTTACAGATACGTTATATTTCTTTTACTTGCAGACTGCTAGTTCACCTAGGCGCGTTGCCGTACCTGTACTGGTAAAGGATGGAAAGCCGTGCGCCGGAAATAACAGTGCTTCACAATCGCAGCAAGTAAGTGCTGCTAGTAATGCTCCAACTAACAGCAATAACACCAATGTAAACGAAAGCAATGCGTCCACCGAAGTGAATAACAGCATTGCAAGTAGCTTAAGTCTTATAACAGGAGAAACAAATAACTCCCATTCTCCAGATACATCAAATTCACTAATTGCCAGTTATAATGGGACGATCGTAGGACATAATCAAATACAGCAACAATCTTGCAATAATTCTTTAATGTCAAACAGTTTGGCAATGGCATATCGCAACCAGAATAATTTTATTTCAAACGGCCATCAACAACAGTGTACAGGGTATTTGCCTTTACAAGGCAGGGCGTGGTAAAAGGCTGCAGAGGAAGAAAAAAATAATTATGATATAACATACTTTTGCATGTTTTCTTCAATTCGGTTAGCCTGTTTATGAGTAATTTAATTTATGAGCAAGTTTATTTTTATAAATCTTATTACATAAACAGAAATTCGCATGAAAAGATTCAAAACTGATTAAATTTTGGTAAACTGCGTTTACTTAATTTGGTCGTGTGAGCCAAATCGCCTGTGTAATTAATCATTATTTATTTTTTACTTAACATATCAGCATAGCAGAATCGAGATAGACACATGTATTTAGATATACTAAACTAATTATAATTAAAAGGAATATCGATATAGCATTGTCTGATATTCCGTACAGCCGTCTGCACACTGATCTATATCAGTAAAAATATAAATACATTGTACATATTTCAATAAAAAATTTTACTTGTTAATCTTTACTAAATACGGATACCGGCGCGAATAGCAAATGCTAAGAAATATATACATATGTACGTATGATAGTTTTAAATTTGTCCATAATGACCTTGATACAAAATATTTTTGAAGCGAAACTTCTTAGGCGGCGGTATCGCAAAAATGGAGAGTGAAATTTTTAAAACTGAAAATGTTACAAGAGTAAGAAGGAAGATAGAGTATAGAGAAGGGGGAAAAAGAATGAAAGCGACGTATGACGGATAAACAAAGCGATAGTGCAAACATCTTCAACGCGCATTCATACGAGTACCCAAGAATGATAGAATACAAGATTGCGCCAATGAGAGAGGATTTTTGAGCGTAATTTTTGCGTGACGTCATCTTGGTGCAATTGCGAGAGAGAAATGCCAAAACGCATACAAAAATATGTAAAAAATTCAGAAAAATGTGTTAGTTTTAATACTACATGGCCCAATTTTGCAGGAATCCATAAATATACAAAAATTTATTAATTAGGAACACGTAGCAATAACTTTGGACATGTAGCCCTTTAGGTTAGTACGATTTTTAGCACATGAAACAATTGATGTAATAACAGTGTTTACAATTTCACGTAGACCAAAAGGAGGGTGTGCAGCAAAGTGGATTTTTGGACTCGCCATTGTAAAAAGCCATGCAGAGTGCATATTTATATTTGTGGACGGTATCCAACCATCATAAACTCCACAGCTTTTATTCGATGACTTTTGTACCATTTCCGAGAGGATGCATGAGTGTGGCTTCTTTGGAAACAAATATTCTATGTAACTAAAACATAATTTATAGCTGAACTTTTAAATGCATAATAATTTGGCCACTGTTTTGTATTAGGTACGTAACAGCGCGGTAAGATGCCGCTTGAATTAGCGCCTGGCGACCTTATCCACTGGTGCTTTACCTCATACCAGCACTAAAAATATTATTTTCAGTATCTTCACTAGCGAAGTGCTTCAGCGTTTCCTTGTTGCAGGCAGTCACAATTAATTACTCACCGCTTTCGGTACCATAAGCCATCAAATCCGTTTTGTTGTTCCATTCCATGCGCTCAATGTGTTTTGATATATTTTTTGAGGAGAATGAATGCAAATATTCAACAAACATATGTATCAGGGACCGAAAATAACAGTTACTTTTTTCAACAGATAAACTTGGCCAGATATTTTTAAGTCGAAAACAAAAGTCCTTTCCTAATAATAAATAAACCGCTTATCCAAATTTAACAAGCTTGGTATCAACTAAAATAGCTTTAAAACTAAAATATTTAAACGAGAAAAGCCAGCAGAAAGCCAGCTATTGAAAAATATTTAAAAAAAAATGTTTTTTAATTACCATAGAACAAATCTTGGGTTCGGTATTTGCATTTCTTTTGTATTAAATTATAACAAAATATAAATAGATAGTTATTTCTGTTTAAAAGCTATTTAAGTCCTCTTTTATTTGGTACCAAATTTGTTTAATTTGGATAAGCGGTTAATTTATTATCCGGGAAGACTTTTATTTCGAACTTAAAAAATATCTGGCCAAGTTTAACTGTTGGGAAAAATAATTGCTATTTACGGTCCCTGATACGTATAGTTAATACTATTTCACATTGTCGCTGAAATGCAAAAAACCCCAACTAACTAAATTTTTGTATTGCCTAAAACGATGTAGGGACTTATGATTCGATGAAATGCATCATAATCAATCAAAAAGTTAATTTTGGATTTTTAGTTAGTTACGGCTTTATGTATTTCAGCGACGATGTTAGTTAAGGCCTTTCTATACTAAACTAACGATATATTACATGCCAAGTCCCACTCCTCAATAGATATAAAATTCACCTTGAATTAATTCTTATTTAATTTGTGAACTTGGCTGTCGACTTATTTACATATAATTTCATCTTTATTTCGATGCGTGCTAATTTTGATAATTTACACAAAATTAAAACAAATGTTTTTGTTTCCGAGCTGAAAGACTAATAAAAGGAAACACGAAACTTAAGAATAATAAGTTTTATGAGAAAAAAATAATTCAGTTTTTTTAAGAAAACGTAGAAAAATACTCAGCTAAAATTTTTTGTTTGCCAGATATACGTTTTATCAGTGCACTTGCACAATATTCCCGTTCGCAAAAGCTCCGCATTGATTATTGCGAATGCGAATGCGAATGTTAAATGTAAATGGTTTGTATGCACGTATGTACATAAATATTTATGTATGAACCCTTCAGTACTGCTGAAGTCAATCGCTACTTTTGAGCCGCTACTGCTCCGACTTCTAGGTAAGTAGCTACTCTATTAACCCGTGGTAGTGCACATGGTGGTGCAGAGTCGAACCAGTCGGAACCAGCGAAAAACTACGACAGAGGGAGCCGATAAATCACGCAAGTGACTACTTTAGTAACTGGCGATAGTGCAGAGAGAGCCGATGGTGACTACCGCCTAGAACATTGCCTTGTAAAAGCAATCGATGAAATACCCTGCAAGTAGTCGGTCGGTGATTGACGGAGTTTACCAGGTAGCTACCGATTTATCAGTCCTATAGTCGCTCCGCCGTACTTCAGGGAACAAACTCATTTCGCATTTCAGCTCTGCCGCTACCAAGCAATATACATATGTATAAATGGAGCAAGCGTGCTTCGTGTAACTGCAGCCATCCGTACATATGTACATATGTTTGTATGGATATATCTATGATGAACAGTGTACCAACCCCGTTTTACCTTCCTTTTATTAGCTCGGGATGTAACTAAGTAATATTGATGCGCCTAAAAGATGCAGCGATTTCTATTCTCATGTTACATACCTGATGCCAGTACGAATTGCAATTATAATAGGGAGGTTTTAGTTTTTTAAACTACAATTTTTTATTATTTTAGTGTGGTAGAATCGGCATAAAATGTGGTAGATTTGAATAAGATGTGGTAGATTTTCCAATTCATATTTGAATTGGGTATACATATCGCACACCGTCGTCAAAAGAGGCACAACTCAAAAATTAGATCGGGAAATATAACTGCTGGGGGATCATTCAGATTCAACGCAAATTTATGCAAAAACAAGTATGACATTAGGTTTCTAGTTAGAGAATATAATCACGAAGAAAAAAATATTTTCTTTAATTTGAGAAAAATCCTACATATTTATTTATGCAAAAAATTCCACAAAATTATTTTTCCATTGCATAATACTTTAGCAAATATAAAAATGCAGATTTTTGGAATATTAAAAAGTTAAGGCACAGATATATTTAAAGCAAAATTTATGATGTACCCTTTTGAAAATGTATTGATCAATTTTTATATTTCGTATTAGAATTGAGTTGAAATTTTAGAGTAATGTAAAAATTTTAAACAAATGTTCTGTCTAAAAATGTGGGAGATTTTAAGTCTTATGTTGTAGATGTGGTAGACACCCAAATTTTGAAAAATACTGTGGCGAATACTGCGGCAACGCGAAGCGAACAACGAGAAATAGGCAGAATGTTCGAGGAATAACGTAGAATGTTCCACAAAGAGAAACGTCAAGTTGGATGAACACTGCGAACAGCGAGCGAAAGAGAATGAGCGATAAAATTCAGAATGTTCTAGAGTTGCCATAAGTGCCAGCGCAGGTACATAAGGGTGCCGCCACAGCGAGGTGAGTTAGTTACAAGTCAGCAAGCTACAAGTAAAGTGAGCAGAGAAGCGAGTTGCGAATAAGCAAGCTATAAGTTTAATTGTGTTAACAAGTTCAGTAAAGCGTTGTAATTGCTTTAACAAGTATTGTAGTATTTTTACTGTATTAGCAAGTATTGTAAAATTGTTTGTTGTACAATAAAGTTAATTGTACTACCATTTGGTCATCGTTAGCCTTTATTTAACAATCCAGCGATACGAACCGGAGGATTTGGGAAATCCGGACGAGGGTTCAAGGATAATCGTAACAATTGGTGTCAGAAGTGGGATTGTTAAATAAATCCCGAAGGAGAAACTACTAAAAATGGCGAAAATTCAGGACTTAAAAATTGAGTACCTGAAACAGGAGTTGGAAAAGCGTAATTTGGCCACCTCCGGAAGAAAAGTGGAATTGTTATCCCGGTTGCGAGAGGCTATGGAAGCTGAAGGCATCGACGTGGACAAATACGACTTCCAGGGTAAACCCGACGATGCATCCGCAAAGAACGAACAGAAGGATGAAGCAGCTTGGTCGTCGAAGGATGTGCAGCAGACATCCGGGAAGGTTGAAGAACAGCAAAAGGCTCTTAGTTCATCAACAGCTATAGACATGATAACGTTATTGGCTGCCATGTCACAGATGTCATCACAGCTGTCATCCCAGATGCAAACGCTGCAGACACGTATATCTTCAGAGGTATCAGCGCAGGTGTCATCCCGGCTAGAAACTCAGCTACTGGCACAAGAGACACGTATAGCATCCCAGCTGGAAGCACAGGATGCAAAAATTACACAAATACAGGACAAAATCGAAGAGAGACAGGAGAAAGTCGAGACAAAGGTAGAGGAGTTGGAAGGTCGTCTTCGTGATTTACAGTTAAATCGTCCAGCTACTTCGACAAGTGCTCCCAAGGTAAAGACTCCATCCTTTGACGGCACGATTCCTTTCCAAGTCTTTAAGCTCCAGTTCGAGAAGACAGCTACAGCAAATCGTTGGAGCATGGAGGATAAATCCGCTGCTCTGTTTGTGGCATTAAAAGGACCTGCAGCGGAAATCTTGCAGACAATTCCTGACTGTGAAAGGAACAATTACGATGCATTAATGGGTGCAGTGGAAAGACGTTATGGTAGCGAGCACAGGAGACAGATTTACCAGATGGAGCTGGAGAATCGCTGCCAGAAATCCAACGAGACTCTACAGGAATTCGCCTCCGAGGTTGAAAGGTTGGCTTATTTGGCAATTGCAGAAGCATCTGGTGAGCACCTCGAAGGAGTAAAAATCCAGAGGTTCATCAACGGAATGCGGG